CAAGTTTCCTAATTGGTAGGAAAACTCAGTTTGGTTTTTACAAAAAAATAAGTACCTACTTTGGCCCCCTCCACCCCCTTAATTAAATTCCTCTTCTATCCCTTCCCCTGCCCAACTTCTTCCCTTTCCTCCTCCAAATCTGCATATGTCATTATTACTTACCTTCCACTACTCTGATACACATATGTAGGCATTCAGTTACTCATTTTAATTCGTTTCCTGACATCAAGATCTACTGCTCTGCTGCCTCACTGCTGTCTCCTTTAGATCTCCTCTCTTCTTTAAGTTGCTCTGGACACATACAAATGCTTCTGAACACAGTAGCTAGACTGTCTTCCTTTTTACTCATTTACAATTGCTTTTTCATGTTTCCAAGGTGTTTTTCTCCACTACTCATAACAAGTGCAAGACAGTAACAATTCTCTTTGCTAGTGGTCTACCAACCAGAATTTTGGACGAACTGTGACATCTATGGCATCAATAATTTAAAATATTATTAAAATTTCTTTGAGTTAATTTTTTTTTTAATTCCCAATATGCACTGAAACCTACCCAGTACCTTTGAAAAATCTTTAGAACTGAAACAGTGTTTAAAAACTGCTTTTTAAGAAAGACATTCCTACTATTTCATAAATACTTTGGTTTTTTGTAGTGTAAGTAATGGAGCTGAGTAAGATTTCTTCAGGGACAATATGAATTAATAATAGATGTAGAGGAAAAGCAGAACTGGTGAGTGCACTCACACCCTCCTAAGTCTCCTTGGATGTGTTTCTAAACAGTATATTCTGGAATGCTGACACAATTGTACATCACAGAATCACAGAATATTCTGAGTTGGAAGGGACCCACAAGGATCATCAAGTCCAAATCTTAAGTGAATGGCCTGTATAGGGATTGAACCCACAACTTTGGCTTTATTAGCACCATGCTGGAACCAACTGAGCTAATCCCAGGGTCATATATACTACTGACTCATTTGAAAAAGAGAGTTTTTAATGTTTTTATACTACTGCTACCAAAATTTCTGCTACATTTTAAGCATTTCCAATGCAACTTCAATTCCAAAAGCTCACAAGATGTGACCCACAGTACAAGTGGATTTTGCAGTTGGAACAATTAATAAGAGTTCTTAACTATGGTGGGGGAAATTTGGGGGGACAGAGGGCTTCACAGCTTGCATTAGGACTGTCTAGTACTTTGGAGACCAACAGGAGCACTACTGATCTTCATGGGAAGATGAGCTATCCAGGGTAAAGTAATACTGAACTTCTTTTAGCTTTCTAGTGCATATACAGAAACGTGCAGTATATGAAGCAGCATTCTACATTTTAAATAAGCAAGAGCTCAAATAAACAGAACAGAATGGGTGGCAAGCCCAAATGTTTCTTGATTCGATCCTGCTTCAAGCCCTTCCAGGCTTTCTGTTCTGTCAACAGATACGATATTTTAGAGCAAAGTAAGTACCAGATCTGGACTTCCTTTGCATTACAAATAGCTGTGGCGCTCCAGAAATATTCATATCTTGTCTTTTAAGAAGAATCAAGAAGAATGCAGCTTTTGGGAGGGAATAAGAAAAGGTGAAAAATATTTTCTCTTTTCTATAGTCTAAACTCAGAATTCTCACTTTTCTTCCTTCTGAGGACATAACATTTCTTTTCTCTGGCCACTTTCCTTTACTTGATTTCAGCTATTCTCCTGTCTGACAACAGAGCAGAACACTCAAGGAGGAAGACAAGGCAGATGCAGTAAAAATACAGGATGCGTATTTTCAGGTTTTAACCTGGAAATTAATTAATCTATTAATTAGAAAATCTATTAATTAATTATTAAAAATCTATTAATTAGATTACAAAATCCAAGGTACTACATAAGAAATAGCAAAAATAAAATTAATTTAAATATCTGGAAGTGTACAAGTTTACCCATACTTTTTTCTACTAAAATTTTCTGGATACTACAGTAAACTAAGTTGGTGAGTTAGTTCAGGTGATTCATTATTCGATACTCACAGTACAAAATAAATATAGTTTGTCTCTTTCTCCATAAGGCTACATGAGATGCTGCATAGAAGTTATATTACTATATAGATGTGTCCAAACACAAACACACACCTTCAAGGAAATTCAAACCCAGCAGCTCTTCAGCAGTAACCAGTGGCTTATGAGGTTAACATGGTACAAGTTAAATCAAAGCAAATCAGTTAAGCAATGTTGCAAATAATTTCCAATAGTTTCCTATCTTTTCCATCTTCCTGTAAGTCTTTTCAATAGTTGCTACAGAAACGTCATTGGATCAGAACAGGCAACGGCTCAGAAAACCGTCTCTTTGCCCACAAAAGTATGATTCATCATACAGTGAAGTTATAGAAGTTATGTTCAAATTAAACTATGTATACCATTTTGAAAGAGTGTCTATGCAATTCTCAGTCACTGAGCTTCCTGATATACTCTTCTGGCTTAGTACAGTTAGATGCATTCATCAAACATATATATACACAAATATATGGTTTAAATGAAATTAAACTCCTTTGAAAAAATAACCTGGCTAAGTATATAAGTTTTTTGAAACAGATACCATAGAGCAAATCTTCCAGAAATAGTCATAAGGGGTTATCATGACTTATAGTAATAACAAAATTATTTTAAAATTATGGATAAATCATTTTATATTTATATTTATATCATTTTATATTTATATTATATAAATATTTAGATATTTCAACTGACCATTTCTAGAGTCTCTGACTGTGCATCTTATAAAAAAGACTGTGAGATGATAGGACAAATAAAGTATGTAATGATACTTCCTGCAAGGCAAAAGCTTGCTACGAGTATTACTTATAGCTTTTAGTTCCCCCATGAAGTCCCCCACAGGGTACATCACTGAAAAGCTGAAGAAACTGTCAGAAGGGTTGTATATGTGTGCATGCAGATGTGGTTACACAAATATAAAACATGTCTGTCAAAGAACTGTAAAGTAAAATAAATTTCAAAACCAGAAAATTATTTTAAAAAACAGATATTCTCTTATTGGCATATCCCAATACACCAGACATACTTTAATCATTGCACAATAAAACTTGTGCTTCACTCAGATTAGTTAACAGAAAACTTAGAGCTACAGACATCAGCAGCACCGACCAAGCTATTGAGAGCATATATCCAAGTTCCCACATCCAAAATGAGAACAGTTCAAAGTTAGATGTACAATATTAACTATATTTAATTTTAGCTATTACGGTGACTCAAGAAACCACGTGTAACAGTAAGGATTATCCTGTACTTCTGTACTTTGAAAGAATGCAAGTAATACAGTGCAACAATACTATGTAATTATCTAAACTGTACTCATATATGCCTTTAAAAAAACCAACATTTCTGACTGTATATAAAAATACTGTATATTGGCAGTTTCAGGCAACTAACACAATCATGTGTTGGATATTAAAATCAGATATTAGAATTTAAAGCCAAATCTGAAGGTATCTTATCCATTTTCTAAATTATTCAGTAACTTGATATAATTATTTTCATGGTTATTAAACAACAAAAAAAATCCCAGCAACTGTATTTATTGCAATATAATTTTAGAAGAAAAAAAGAAGTGTTTGCCATAATTAATTGTATAGGGGAAAGGACAGGGAAGGCACTGTCCCTTTAGAACTCTGTAGGTGCTTCTTTTTTAGAGGTTGAATTTCTTAAATTCAGAGGCCTGAATTTAAAGACTGACTTTCTACAGTCACATGAACAGATCTAGGTCTTGTAAGTTAGTTTTTTGAAAGTGCACTGAGGAAAAACATATAAGAAAAATATCAGGCTGGAGGGTAAACTGTATTTCACATAACAGAAAAGGGAATACAGGAAGTATGATGTTGTGATTTTGGAAAGAAAAATTAGAGGACTGAAAGTACAACAGAAAAATAACAGTAGGTTCTTGAAGATAAATATAAAAATAAACAACAGTAAGGGAGACCAGCCCATGGAATAGTCTGAGTGAAGCCGTTCTTGATATCACTACATAGATTCACTGAGTAAGTTTGACTGAAGTAGTTGAAGTCAAGAGAACTCACTCCACTGACATCAGTAGGCTTCGTTCAGGCCACTACATGCAGTCCTTCTGATCCCTCTTCCTTTCATCTAGGCCGAGAATCCTCCCCATTTCACTGAACAGTACTGTCTCCCATTTCTCTAAGAATCTGTGTTTGTACCCACGGTACAAACCACTGGAGGGGTTTTTTTAACCAGTCACATCTATGCCTGCCTCAAACCAATAAAATTTACAACGTGCCTGCACCCTTCTCGTAATGGGTAGTAGCAAAGCCCATCAAGTATATTAGTGCTAATGGGAAGGCAGTGGATCAAGGAGAGAGTCAGGAACTCTGGGACCATGAGTGTAATTGCAAGCAGTGAGACAGAGCTAAAACATAAGGGAAATTATTTACTTCTGCTTATTTAAGCTGTGCAGAAGGACTATGAAGCATTTTCATGCACATTATTTACTGCTCAAATATAGCATAAGGCATGTTAAACACTGAAATTTTATTATCTAGTGTTCAGACTTCATGGTTAGTCAGGATATATGTTAACAGAATATTTCAAAAGCAAAGTCCACCCTCACGGAGCCTGCCATTACTGGATTTAAATACTTACTATGCTTTAAACTAGTAGTACTTTAATGTTTGTTTCTGGTGCATATGTGACAATGTTGACAGGAGTTTCTGTCAGTTCAGGATAATAACTACAGAGACTTATGCATTATCAGACTATATTGATCAAATGTTTGAGAGCAAGAACTCTCCAATTGCTTTCCTTTCCTTCAAATACTTAATATTTTCCTCTGGGAAAGAATCATGTCTTTTATCATAATGGTTTCCATTTGCTTCTAGAGCATGAGTTCACACTCTTCAATTATTTTCTGTTAATTGTGTAAGTTTAGGTGAGAATGGTGCTTGGTTGGTCTTTATTCAGTTTGGGGTTTTAAAATTAAGAATATCAGCTTACCTTCTGGTGAAGTACCTGGCTTTTGAGAAAACACAGAACTTATTTTACTCTTTTGGCTGCTGTTGCTGTTGACAGACAAGGTGGACTGAATTTTTCTGTGCATTTTTTCTGAAACGGGAGCTGAAAGTGTTCTGTTGTCTGCAGGTATGTGCTTGACCCCGTTGTGAAGTCCACTTCCATTACCCAGACCCACGTGGCCATTTTGGATTTTGCCACTTTCTTCCTCACCCCTTTCCAGTGCTGAAGTATTCGGCTGAGGCAAACGTTGAGGTTGTGCTTAAAAGGAAAGAAAGAAAGGGTTAATTTAAATTGTAAATTGATAACTGAACACTTCAGGCTAGACCAGGAATGGAACTGTCATTGCTCTTATTGATCTAATAACAGACTGACAAGAAAGCAAAGCAACAGAGCAAAAAATATCTCTAAATTAAAAATAATTATTAGGTATTCAAAAAGCACATCATGTATGCATGAGGCCTAGATTCCCCATTCAGCACTGCAAGACTGTGAATTACACGGAAAGTATAAGACAAGTAATTTGAAGAAAGGAAAAAGTCAAGCATGGCAAACAAAGTAGCGAAACTGAGATAAACTTGTACTAAGGGAACCAAGTGAATAATGGGGGAAATGCAATCAAATGAGAGAAAAAGGTATTGGAGTGAACATACAGACTGCAGAACAGAATTTCAGTTGCAGGTTGGCCAACCTGCAAGTCTTCAGAAAATAACCTTAGTGACACAGTAGGGGTCCCCCGATACACAGCCACCACAGACCAGTATATTAAAGAAGGAGTATCCAGGTAACTAACAACATTTTGAGCTTAATTCATAAAGATCATGGATTGCTGGGAAGTACTAAACCAAACAAAATCTGGTTTTGTGGAGGAGGTAACCAGAAGGCACATGCCTTCAAACACTTGTGGCAAGCCAGAGTTCACCCCTCCATATTTTTCAACTCAGAATCACAATTTTAGAAATAGCTGTAATGGGCTGGTTGGGAATTTAATGGCAACATACTGAAATGGTCAAAGATAAAAAAATACAGAACCTGTCAAGGCAAGAATCTGCAGTGACCTAGTTAAGACTCTGAGAGTACACGTTATAAACTCATTCTAATGAGTAAGCATGAAACTTTATCGTTCTGTGTTGAGCTACTGTATCATACAGAAGCATAATTATAATAACATAGAAAAGAGGGTGCCTATGTATTTAAAGTCTGTAACTAAAGAAAAGATGTAGGATTTTTTTTTTTATGTAAAGCTTTGTAATACAAAAGTCATTTCAATTTAACAATTCTTATATAGAAAAAAATGCAGAATTTATTGGAAAACTAATTAAACTATACACATAGTATCACAACAAGATTACACAATCAAAAAACATAAGCTCAATCACCTCTCCTAATCAAAACATCACTGCATCATGCTTGGACATAAAGAAGTTTTCAGACAGTCCAATCTCCAACAATTTATAAATTTTATGTCAAGGAGAAAGTCCAGATTCTACTAGAGACTCAACTGAAGAGAAATTAGTGTCAGGGGTAAAGAAAAACAGTGCTGCAGTTCATTCTCTTTTCAGGTGGTTCACATCCATTTTCAGATGATTTCACAGTACACACTCATATACATATTACGCTGTGTACAAGGTAACAACACATATAGATAATTACAATTAGCTTTCTCTAAAAAGAAACATCTCCATTGATCACTTCAGGTACAAGTTACCAAATTTTCAGACAAATATGACTGGGTCATATAGACCAACATGGTCTCTAAAAAGACTCTCAGTTCTAAATTTGCCTAATAAATCCTCAATATTTCCCTTTTATTCAGGACACTGACACCATTCTCAGATTGCTTCCTTCAACTATCATAAACTTTTTCAGACTAAACTTCATATAAATCTTAAACTTTACATGCTAGTCACAGGCGAATAGTTTAAATATGAAATGGTTCATTTTTTTTCTTGCTATTCGATTTTTTCGCTCATTGCCACTAAGATTTTCAGCAAATTGACTTGACTGCCCACATCAATCCAGGTCAAAGTAACCATGCTTGAACCTACCTTACCAAAGTGATAATTTTCTGTTGCTGGAAATAAAGAGAGGGCTGGGGGAAACATTTAGGTTTTAGCCTCCCCAAAGATTTTACAGGGAAGACAAAGATCAAAGATTGTTCACTTCCTTTACCAGCAGTAACTGCTCACAAACCTCCAAGTCAACAGAGCACAACACTATCTGATACCTGAACAATTAATTATTGCCCAAAGACTTTTTTATTGACAATGCTGAAAATGCTTCTTCAAAGCTTCTTCTGACAATGCTTCAATTTTGCATTAGTGTTTGCAAAATCTACAAACAGAAGCATAAGCAAGGCACTTTCTTCACTTTGAAATTCAATTTGTAGTATATATTTGGTTAACTTCTCCAGACTTATATAAAGGTTCCTAAACAAATTTTTAGGGAGTTTTTCCCTATCTGTATAAATATCATTAAAAACATAGATTTTTGTAGATTCCCTTTCCATGTATGTGCAAAATTAATTTTGTTAAAAATCAAGTAATTCCTTCCATTTTAAAAATAGGCAATGGAGACCTAACCACAGTCAAAAATATCTGTCAATATTAGAAATCAAAATGCAATGTTTATGTCCATAGCACCCCGGAAGTTTATTTTCATTATCCCACTTAAATTTAATTGCATAATTAAGGAACTGTGTTTTTCATGGTCCATGTAATGATGTTTCCTCAGTCTGCACTGCCTATGATCTCCAAGTGTGAAGTGGTGCAATTGCATCAATCAAGTAGAATTACTGGGGAGGGGTTAACCTTCCTCAATAAACAAAAGCTATTCTAAACTATTCTAAAGAACTATTCTAAAATTCTCTGTGTCTGATGCCAGTTTCTAAAACTGACAGTTATGACTTTTTCCAAGCCAGCTAAATTGGTGGTGGCAGCTTACAATTGTTTGTGTATTTTTGGGTCTTTGCTATGATACAATAACTTGACAAATTATCCAAAATTCAATCTGCAAAATTAGGTGTGTTTCTGTCAAACTGTGGGTGAATGAAAAGTCCTGGAAAATCTAAACAGTTATGGTTTTGATTTTATTATTATTTTTACTAAGGGTTTGGAGTTTTCTATGTTTTTTTAATTTTAATTTTTTATTAACTTATCCTGTTCCCAAAGTACTCGAGTCTTCTAGCATTAACATACAACTTTTTAGCTGACTGGCTTTACACTATTCAAATGTTATATGCAGGTCAAATCAAAATGGAATAAAACCCCAAATGGATTAGTTATCTCAATTTAAATTTATTTTAACTTTATTGATAATTTTGCACTAGGGAGACTTGAATATTATGGTTAAAACACACTTGAAACCAATTAGGAACCATATGACCGCATTCTAGCATAAAGAACAAAAGCAATTGACAGTTCTGAGATTAAACCACAACCACCTCAGTTTAAAACAGAAATATTTTTACCTTATTTTTTAAAGGTTGTGTATATCTTAAAAAAAAAAAAAGGTGTAATATGAGGAACGACACAATGCTTCTTAAAACACAGTGATACCCAGGGACTCTCACTCTCTCTTTAATGATCCACTGCTCTCATTCAGCTGTCTTTCTTTTTTCAAATCTTTACATATGTGACAGCTCTCAAAAGTAGACCATAGACCATCTGGCATTTTCCGAGGTGTAACTTGTGCAAATTCAGCTCTACTGGGAACACAATGCTATCTTCTGCCTGCGTTATAAAAGATACAATAGAATGTAGAACTTATGAGTTGTTTTGAATTATTCATTTTTTGCCTGTATATTCAAGAAATTTTACAAACTCTGCATTTTGTACTACATAATCACATGCGTTAAAGGTACAAAGAAACTTTTTGACACCTCTTTTCTACAGAAAGATGGCATTTTGTTTGATATCTGAACATTCAGCACCTGTTATATCATTCTAAACAGACCGTGCGCTGCTACAAAAGATCCCATTTTACACTCTATGTATGAGCAAAAATTTTATTCTTGATATTCAGTAACTAATGCAATACACATCAAAATTTCAAATATGTGTTGGATGAACACTCAGCATCTTCAAATCAGGATGGGACTGGTCACTTACTGTATGCTAAAGATTTAAGAAAAAATCATTCCTCAGACAACACAGAAAAATTGTCATTTCAAATATCCACAATGAGTAGTTTTAAAATGTCTTAGGAAATACTGTGCTTTTCAGGTTAATATGTTTTTAATCTTTAGCAAAACCAGTTGTCGTGGTTTGAGTCAATATTTTATACAGTGCTAACACTAGTGGATTTTCAATAAGAATGATAAATATTAGATTAATGATTCAATAGACTGAAGCTTTTTTGATAGAAAACTAGCAGATAATGTAGGTAATAATAACTGTACAGGAATCTGCTGCCTGTGGAAAAGTAATAAAAAGGCAATATATTGCTATGGCATATAATCTATTAGTGTGTTTCATGGTTTCCTTGTCATTGGTTTCCTTGCAAAGTGGGTCTTAATACAATAACTTCTGCTGTTATTTAACTAACTTTACATAACAATTTAATTGTAAGGTTACTATTTGGTGAATATGAGTAGTAAACATGTATTATGATTTTGATGGTTTTGAAGTAACTATGCACGTTCTCTTTCAGACTGTAAAACCCTTAGCACACTTTAAATGAATATGCACATATACATGCACCCTGACCATACATTGTTTTTACACCTTGCAAAGTACCAGCTAAGAGAAAAATCCAGATGCACCCATTTAACAGAAAAGGTATGTCTACAGAGGGAAACTCTGAACCAAAAGAGGACAGTCTAAGCTATCATTAAGGATTTTAGACAAAACACAAAAACAAACATACACTGAATGCAGACTCCTCTGAGTCAATGTGAATCAAAAGAAAACATCAGGAGGGAGAAAAGAATTGAGACAGCTAATTAGTAGCCTAATCACATCAAAAGCAATTCCAAGGCAGCTGATACAGATACCCGTGGAGTTTGCTAGGCCGGCCAATGAGCCTGATAGGAAAAATACTTTCCAGTTTACAGCCTGGGTTATCTGGCTACACACCCAGAGAGGTAAGAATGCTGTTTACCTTTGTCTATGGCACAATAGTTTATGATAACAAAGGCCTGTACAGAATCAATATTTTTGCAGGTGAACGAGGGAGGAATAAAATGTTCAACTCCTGGGTGTAAAAATTCTATTACTGAAAAAATACAACATATCATTTCACTTGTCAATATTCTCAACAGT